TATACTCCTAACACTGTCATCAGATGATACTGGGAACACTAGGAGATTGAAAGTGATGTAAATCACTAGTAGATCAAATAAGTCAAAAAGGAATCTGGCCATATCTTTGCAAGCTTGCAGGCATGCAACAATAAGGTGATGCAATAGTTATTGTTAAACAATCAATGAATAAAATTAATAGTTTAATTAATAGCAAAAAGATTTTAATATCAAAAGGCAGTACATTATAGTACTATGCTATGGCAAAAAGGAGCAGTTATTTATGTTAACTAGACTTTTTTGTTGAACATCTACAAACCATCTTTTGTTTCCTTCAAACTGGACATTGGAGACTTTTACTGATGGGCCAAGTGCAATATGATAACCCAGTGAACTGTTCATAGCGACTACAAGACCATCAAGTTCGTGTGATGATAATGGGAGATCCTCATCACTGCAAGGAATGAACTATAGCAGATAAAATATAGAAATGAAGTACCACTTCTGGATTTGGCTAAATTTTGTCAAAAATGACTTAAAACAGAATTCTCCATTTTTATAATTTTTTCTGATATGTATACATGTTCTTATGTTGTGTAGCAAGTTTGAGCTTATTCCGATCAAATTCAGAATTTTTATGAATTTTTAAAGTTGCTCAAAAATCGGGCCAACGACCAAGGCTATAGCCTTTGGTCTCAGGCCAAATTTTGCCAAAAAATGACTAGGAGAGAAATCTCCATTTTTATAATTTTTTCTAATACAAATACATGTTCTTATGTTGTGTACTTATTCTAATCAAATTTAGAATTTTTATAAATTTTTAAAGTTGCTTTAAAATCGGGCCAACAACCAAAGGCTATAGCCTTTGGTCTCAGGCCAAATTTTGCCGAAAATGACTAGGAGAGAAATCTCCATTTTTATAATTTTTTCTGATATGTATACATGTTCTTATGTTGTGTAGCAAGTTTGAGCTGATTCTGATCAAATTCAGAATTTTTATGAATTTTTAAATTTGCTCAAAAATCAGGCCAACGACCAAAGGCTATACTAAAAATGACTAGGAGAGAAATCTCCATTTTTATAATTTTTTCTAATACATATACATGTTCTTATATTGTGTAGCAAGTTTGAGCTGATTCTGATCAAAACTGGATTTTTTATGAATTTTTAAAGTTGCTCTACATGCATAAAGGTCATACTGTTTAGCTCACTTAGCATACTTTGTGGGAAACCCTGTGATACCTACTTTAGTACTTTATTTAACTTCACTGTCATCACTAGATGATTCATATTCTTCAAAAGACACGTCCTCCATTAAGTAGCGTCCCCAATCAAAAGGACGACCGTCTTGAGCAGGAGGAAGAGGAGGAGGATCAGACTGAGGAATAGTGAATGAAGTATGACTTGTTGGGGATTGAGAGAGACAGAGAAGGAATGACAGTATAGCATAATGATTCTCAGACTACAAAAGAAGAGAATAATGAAGAGAAGGAATTAATAGAATTAGAAGTAAAGAACCAAAAGAAAGAAATAATAGAATCATAATAGAATAAAAAGGGAGGGAGAATAAAAATTAATTATAATAATTTATCAGTCTACCTCTGAGAAAGATTCAAATAGTGAGAGCTTTAAAAAGTCACCCACGCATTTCTCAAGCCTTTCAGCTCCCTCTGGTAAAGAATGAACTCTAAACTTTGTGGCCAGACTACAAAAAATGAAAGAACAAAATTTAATATTATACATAATTATTATCTACATGTAATTAATTAATTAATTAATTTTGTAATTAATTAATTAATAATTAATTAATTTCAATAAATAATTATAACAATTATTGTCAATTTTTTTCAATAATAATTAATTTTTTGACATTAGCATTAAATTTTTAGTAGCAGGCATACAATAATAGTAGCTTGGTTAGCAGTAAGATTAATCAAATAGCAAATAGTACCTATAATACGGTCTATCAAGGTTCAAAGAAGCAATTACTAATGCTGGTAACACTTTGTGGATGAACATGGACGGTCCAGTTCTTGTTATCCTTAAATGTCACATTAGAGACACCAAGCGTAGGACCATATTCACCCATGGAGCTATTCATTGCAAGTACCAGACCATTATTATCAAGAAGAGAGGAATCTTTCAATTGTGTCTTAGCATTGAGTACACCATCACCAGTCACTATTGCTGTGTTAGTGTTGTTAGTGATACTGAGACCAATCATGTTGAATGTAACACCTGATATTGAACCACCTTCAGTCATTGATATGATCATTGAGAAATCAGCGTTATCCCTGATCACTGTGTTAATGACGTTAAAGTTGATACCATAGCCTGATACTGTTGATATTGTAAAGTTAAAGTCAAGATCAATATTGGCAGAGAATATGCAATTCTCCACTCTAACTTCACTATAGTAGGTAAAGGCAGATTTTGTAGCCAATGTTAGTACTTTTCCATTGTTTTTAGTGAAATTTGTGTTGTACAAATACATGAGGATAGTATAGTATGGGTAGTTCCCCCCAGGAGGTACATAGTATAAGAAACCATTAGCAGAGAATTTGCTGTCCCTCACTAGCGAATTATCAAAGGTCACTTTAATCTTAGCAGCTGTAGTAGCAGGAACAATTGTGAGACAATCAACACGTGTCATGGAGCAGTCATCAATCATCACATTGCCATTGAAGATTAATGATTTCAAATCAACAATCCCCAATCCTTGAAAAGTCAAATCGACACCTGAGAAATTGAAATTTATCGAATTGAAATTAATCGTGACTCTGTTGCTTCCAGTAGATGAATCTTTGTTGTCCCCTAGTAAAGTCAGTGTGTTTGTACTATCACTTGTTACAGCAGATTTGACAGTTATAACTTGTGGTGAAGCAATACTGACTGTAATTGCCTGTGCCTGTACATGTTGCAGGTTCCTAAATACGTAATCCAATGACTGACAGGCCGTATCATTACCTCCTAGACAGGCTGGTCTGTTCCTTCCATTGTATTGAACTCTTATACTCCTAACACTGTCATCAGATGATACTGGGAACACTAGGAGATTGAAAGTGATGTAAATCACTAGTAGATCTAACATGTCAAAGAGAACTCTTGATGGCATATTACCTTTGCAAGCTTGCAGACAACAAGGCAAATAATCAGATTAAAGCTGATGCAATTATTGCATCAGCTTTAGCTTAAAGCTGGAATTGTATTCATTAACCAATTTTATGAATAACATTAGTAACATTATATCAGATCTATACAACTCAATTGTTTTCTCTAGTATAATTCAATGCACCACACAAGACTTAATACTTTTTGCTGATTTGCAACACTCCAAGTCATTTGAAAGAAAAGCATGGGCATATGCTTTTGTGAAAAATAGGTTTGAAATCACTCCCAATTTACAATCATTTCATAGACAAGGATCAATGATCAGTTCAGTATAGCCACACCTTTAGTCTTTATAATAGTTAACTAACTAATCATTTGCAGAAGATCATGCCAGCTAGATGCAGACAGACTTGCTTGGATGCATCATGCCTAGTGATACTCCTACTGGCTTTTGGAGGATCCCGTGTATCACTAGGTCTCCTTCAAATTAACACTCAAAACGGATACTTATGCAACTTTTTTGTAACCCAGTCTGAGGCAAGGGATCACACTACCTTCACTTACAACATGCCAACTTGTAAACTGGTCCTGGCTTCTACTATGATCTCCACCATATGTCTTGCTACTCTGACTCTCACAGAAATTATAAGGATTGTATTTCAGTTGAAGACCAAATCATTTTGTCTAACAAAACTCGTTCACCCCTGGGTGACTGCGTTACCATGATGACTCGTCTGAAGCAATTTAGCTTCGTTGCCAACTCAGCAAAAGTTTCTAAAATCCTAGAGAGTGATTTCTAAGAACAAGATATATAAATTACTGTTACAATGATATTATGTGGTTTTTTTACTAGTGAAAGGTGGGATAATGTAATTCCATTCCTGACTGTAACCACACCTCCCTCATTAATAAAATAAACACAACTTCTTCACACAACTTCTTCTCACTCCTATTAATGTCCTAACAATAACAACAACAACAATAAATAAACAATAATTATAAATAATAATAATAATGTTAATTAATATTAATTTCATACCAGAGTGTCTCTCTCACAGCTTGTGTCTCTGTAAGTTGTATCGACAAAGATGGTCTGAAAAAGACATTTTG